ATTGTCCTTGCCCACCCCACATTTAGGTAGGCATGTTGATGAGGCTAATTTATGAATGTAGCTTCTGACATAATCACTGCTGCTTGAATGCATTTGGGTTTCAATTTTAAGTACAACTAAAGAATAAAAACAACAACATGCAAGAGATTATTTTTTTCTTCTGCAATTTTAATTGATACAACTATTATGCTAATACATAAAATGCAACATAAATGTAAAGTGTACAAAATCACACTTGATGTTGTATAGTATGCCTGTTTTTAGTATATTTTAGTATCATGCAGGCGATGCTACAATGTAACTTTCGAATGTTGTCACGCAACACAACTCAGACCTCACTTTCCTTCCCACAGCTCCTGGCAACCACCCTGTCATAACTAGCGACAAGAAAAATTAAGAAACTCTGCTGGCTGACACCTGCAGGATTTGCAACCTTTGTGCACAGGGTTTGGAAAGTTCAATGCCCCTTCTGCTTTGGAAGAGTTGGTGAAGTGTGAAATCAGAGCTACTTTATGACCCAACAATTCAGCTTCTAGGAATATACCCAAGAGAAACAGAATGCCTGTTCACACGAAAATCTGCACATGAGTGCTCATAGTTGTTTTAGAAAATAGTTAAGAGATATTAAAAAAAAAACCCAAGTTTTCCATCAATAAAATATAATGTGTTTATAAAATAGAGTGATATTCCTCTATAAAAACAGTAACATTCAGCCAAATGGGGTGACTCCGGTAACATAATTCCAGCACTAAATGACAGAGGCAGGCAGATCTGTGAGTTCCAGGGCTACACAGTGAACCCCTGTCTCCACACACAGAAAAGACTAAAGAAAAACAGGTATACAACGTAGGTAGATCTTGATGTTATTTTGAACCCAAACGGTTAGACATGCATTTCCCTTTATATGAAATGTCCAGGAAGATATAGAGACACTTGACTTTTTCCCCATTTTGTAGGTTGCCTGATTGTTTTGTTTGTTCTGGTTTTTGTTTGTTCTGTTCTGTTCTGTTTTTGTTTGTTTGTTTGTTTGTTTGGTAGTCTCATGTATCCCAGGGTGGCCTTGATACATCTTAGGTGAGGATGATCTTGAAACTCTGATCCTCCTGTCTCTGCCTCCAGAGTGCTAGAATTACACAGGCAAACACCCACACCTGATTTATGAGCTACTGCCGACCAAACACGGGCATCGTGCATGCTAGGCATTACCACAGAGTTACAATTCAGCCCTGGCTTTTGGGGTTTTTTTGAAGCAGAGTCCCAAAATGCAGTATTCTGAAACATCAAAGGTCATTAGTTCTTTTTCTTTCCTTAGGTTTTCTTGCTTTGAGACAGAGCCTCATGTCATCCAGGTTGGCCTCAAACACACTTGAACTTCCGGTCTTTTGGCCTCTGTGTCATGAATGCTGGGATTGTAAGCACATGCCACCATTCTCAGTGGGGATAATGTTTAAAACTGCTGAAAGATAATCAAGTTAAGACTGGTCCTCCCTCTCTTCTGCTCCCAAAAGGTGTGTATGTAGTGGATAGAGTTTTCACTATAAGCATCGCATCATCTACAGATGACAGTTTGTTCTGTCTGACTTGGCGCTTCTTTTCTTGCCCTGGAAGACATCTTTGGGGGCTATCCTCATTCTTGAGGGGTTGGTGACCATTGGCCACAAAGGCATTCACTTTTTAGTTTGTTCATTATTTTAACCACTTCTTGTTAAGGCTTTTTGTCTGAATGGGACCTCAGTCTCCGTGTCCCTTTCCCTTTAATGGCTCAAAAGCAGAATTCACTGTTTTGGCCTCTGAGGACTCCCACTAGGCTTAGACTCTCAGGAGAACTTCCTTTCCTTAAACTCTTGTAGCTGTTTGACTCTCAGGCTAGCCTGGTCCACAAAGTGAGTCCCAGGACAGTCAGGGCTGGTACACAGAGAAACCCTGTCTCAGAAAACTCTTGCAGCTGGAAGGTCTCACCCTCCCTTCTTTGTCTTTGGGATTTTTACAGTCAAGCATAAGAAAAATAATCCCGTGTGAAAGAACACTGTGCTTCCCAGGGGAAGCCTACAGGAATGTTTAACCAGAGGGAGGGCAGTGAGGAATGTGAGGGAACGAGAGAGAGGCATGGGGAGGACACACTGTTGATTAATGCCAGTTCATGGGACTCGAAGGAGGTATGTTCTAGAGCAATTGGAAAAGCTATTCTGAGCTAGGCAGTGGTGGCACACGCCTCTAATCCCAGCACTTGGGAGGCAGAGGCAGGTGGATTTCTGAGATCGAGGTCAGCCTGGTCTACAGAGTGAGTTCCAGGACAGCCAGGGCTACACAGAGAAACCATGTCTCGAAAAACCAAAAAAAAAAAAAAATTATGGAAAAGCTATTCTGGTGTGAGTGATTTAAACTAGAACACACACACACACACACATCCACACATACATGTATGTGTATATATATATATATATATATATATATATATATATATATATACATATAATTTTAATTTATTATTATGTTTGTGTTTTGGTTTCAGGAATTGCCACTCATACCATAAAAACACTGATCTCAGTTAAGCAAGAAGAGTTTATTAAACGTATACCTTAATACTGAACATTCGGGACTCAGGAGCCTAACTGCGGTACAAGTCTGCTCACAGGCCAGGCTTTTTATAGGAAAAAACAGGCTCAAAAGGTTAAAGGGCAAGGAGGGGAGCAGTTGGCTCACTAGGCAAAGTATTATCAGCTAACCTTTAAGCTGGTTGGTCCTGAGTAAGGAAAGGGTGGTGGTGGTGGATGGGTGGTGAACAGGGGAATTTCAGCACATTGAGATAACAGAGCTATTTGGCTCGCTACTATTATTCTTCGGTGTCAGCCACAAAAGCATAGTGCGCTCATACGTAGGTGCAGGTAGTGCTGCCTGGTGGTCACCTCCGACTCAACCCATTTTAGACATAACAGGTTTTTACTGACCTTTGATTTGATGGGTCCTACGTAAAGCTTTGTGGAATTTCTTAGGATTAGCAAACCTCATACAGAACATTCAGAACATGGCCAGCATGTCCCTGAGTCAAGTCACTTCTCTGTGTCAGTGACTGGCAGGCATGTCACAGCAACAGTAGGAAATAGCTGGCAGGCATGGGACAAAATGGCTACAGCTATTGGTGGCGGAGTGGGGGGGGCATGCGTGTGTCAGACCATAATAATGTGTGCATGCTGTTAATGAAGAAAGTGTTATCACCATCAAATTAAATTACTAAGGTCTGGCGAAGCTCAATGTATACTAACCTATGGCATCGAGTCAAACACAGCATAGCTGGCAGCTAGCTCAGGGGCATGTCACGTCTCCACTGTCCCATGGCCACATGGACCCTGCACATGGGAACACGAAGAACAGCTACCTCAGCCCTGGGAAGTCATGCTCACTTCTCTTCCTGGAATGTCCTGCCTCCAGAGGACAGAAGTCTGAGAATGCTCAGGTCTAGCTGTGGGTCTCAACCTTCTTAATGCTGTGACCCTCTAATATAGTTCCTCATGTGGTGGCCCTCAAACATAAAATCATTTCAGTTGCTACTTCATAACTGTAATTTCATTACTGTTACGAATTGTAATGCAAATATATGTATTTTCTGGTGGTCTTAGGGGACCCCTGTGAAAGGGTCATTTGACCCCCTAAAGAGGTTGCTATCCATAGGTTAAGAATCATTGTTCTAGATACTAAAAAAAATTAGTCTGTGAAAGCCAGGTGTGATAGCAATCCATCCTCTGCCCCTAAAACAGGGTTTCTGTGTAACAGCTCTGGCTGTCCTGGAATTTTCTTTGTAGCCCAGGCTGTCCTCAGACTTATGAGACCTGCCTGCCCATTGCTTCCAAGTGCTGGGATTAAAGGCACGTGCTTCCTTGCACCAGTCAAAACATCAGCTGTCTTTAATCCCAGCATTAATGGAGACAGGATCAGAGGTTTAAAGCGAGCCTCATCTAAAGAACAAGTTTGAGGAAATTCTGTGCTACTGCAGTGTGTGAGAACCCTACTCTGTGTCTGAGAGGAGCATGTGTCTTGTTCTAGATAAGAACTTCAGAGCAGAGAATGAGCTGGCAGAGTTGATTTTGGAGTTCACAGCAACCGTGGTATTGGTGCAGATGCTTGTTGGAATATGGAGTTGATAGAAACTGTAAACCCCAAGTCCTTTCTTTTCCACAGGAGAATTCTAAAAATAGTAAAGGTAAAAGCTAAAGAAAGCGCAAAGGAAACATACACCAACCCTGCCCTCCCCCTCAAAACCCCAAACCCACACCATCCATCTCGAGGTCATGAAGCCCTTTCTACTCTGGGGACTTGCAAACCTCTCTGGACTATTTGCTTTTATCTAGGTGTGAGAAAGCACTCAGCTTTCTGTTACCTGGAGGCAGAACATTCCAGGAAGAGGAGTGGGCTTGACTTCCCAGGGCTGAGGTAACAGTTCTTCATGTGCCTGTGTGCTGGGTCCATGTGGCCACCATGTGACAGTAGAGATCTGGCCTGTCCCCTGGCTAGCAGTCAGCTGATGCTGTGTTTGACTCAACGACAGATTCTTGGTTTCCTGCTACCAGAGTTTAACCTCAGGTTACCCTTAAGAGGGGTAGGCTTCCTGGAATGTCCTGGAATTTGCTTTGTAGCCCAGGCTGTCCTCAGACTTATGAGACCTGCCTGCCCATTGCTTCCCAAGTGCTGATTTTGGAGTGCTTCCCAAACTCCAAAATCCCCATTACTGGGGTGTGGCTCAACTGTTGTAATTTTTAGTTTTCCCCTTAATCTCAATTCTGTCTACAATCACAACAAAAAAGTGAGCATATTGTTGAGACTTCCAGGCCAGCAAAGGCTCTGCTGTGAGAGTCTGTCTCAGATAAACAGTTTCAAGACGAAGAGGCTGTGGCTATACCTCATCTGTATAGTGCTTGCCCGACATGTGGGAATCTCCAGGTTTTATCCTTAGCTGTGTGTGCGCTTTTGATAGGTAGGATAATGACCACAGCCGAAAGCTCCCAGACAGTACAGCCAGATCCACTTTTATTGGGAACAAATACAATCTCAATCAGTACAAGTAGGCTTCAAGAGTTGATATTAATGGAAATCATCCAAATTACACTTGGGTCACAAGTAACTTTCCCACATAAAAAAGAGAAAATCTCATTCAGGCAAGGAAAAGGTTTCCTGTGTGGTTTTCATGGCAGTGATAGGCAGTCTTGCACTTTGACTGGTCATATCTGTCAATCTCTGGAAAGAGCAATGTAGACTAAAGATGGTCTCTAGAACATATCTAGTTCTTTAGAAGTCTGTATGAGAACCTCTGCAGAACATCTCCAAATAATTGGTTTTTAAAAAAAAAAACTCTAATCACTTCAGAACTGCCCTTGAGGTAGGTCAGTATTAGTAGCCTGTTTTATCAAGACTTGCCCAGAGTGATAGTTTCAGTGTGTCCTCCTGGGTTGATGTTCTGGACACTTAATTCACGATATTGAGATGTGAGATTGTCAGATACTTAGCCCAGGAGTTTTTTAGGATGATTAAAGGCCTCATCTCTGGGATGGGTTTGTTACAAGAGAAAGGATACCATAGCAAGCAAGTCAGTGGCTAAGAGAGGCCTTGGCTCCAGCCACCAGCAAATGGTGGCTTTGCTAACCTTTCACATCACCTCACTAGAGCTATGGTTTCAGAGATTACACCCAGAGATAAGCAGCCCAAGTGCCAACTGCCGTTTATAACATGTTTAACAATAGTAACAAGGATGACAGTACAATTGAATACACTCAAATTATTTCCCACCAAATTTGAGCACTTACTAAAAACAAAATTTTCCAAAATGAAGCCCGTAAAATATTTCTGCAAATCACTGTACTGATGATCCTTCAGCAAGCCTCTTGACTGTACCCACTCCATCTAAGGGGTCTCAGGGTTAAGGGAAGGAGTGAGGCTGGGCTCACAGGCACTACAGATTAGGAAAAAGATAAGGCACCCAGAGCTATTAGTACATTCATCTGGAAAATGTTATAAATCCACATTTGAGAGGATCTGAAAGAGTGTCCTTTACCTAAAGACACTGGGACCTCAGCCTGAGGTCTCTAGATAGCCTTGCTTTGGAACATGGCCTGACTCAGATCCCAGGAATAAGATCATTAGAGAAAGAAAGCTGATTTAATTGTTCATCTTATAAATCAGGCACCTGTGACCTGGAAAAGTAAAACCATCCCTAGGCATTTCCAGAAGGTTACAGGTCAGCAGATCTATAGTGATTTTCTACTAGATTTTCTACTTCAACAAAATAGCTCAGAGCATGTGTTCAATTAACATAGAAAGAAAGGCTCTGATCCTGCAAGTGAACCAAGCATTTGGCACTGTACACAGCCAGTCCTAAAAGCCAGGCCTCTGTATTGGGCTACAGGGACAGTAGAGGTTGATGGTTCTAAAATACTGACGTGATGTTTCCTTCTAGACTTTTCTATGCCACTCTTTGCCCTGGGCTGTGTGATAGAGTGGTCATTCATGGCACCTTAGATACCAGGCTTTAGTTGTTTTTCATCACACACTGGCTTCAGGAAGCAGACCCTCTTCCTGAAGTGCTGTCCTGGGCACTTGCCCGAGCTTCTGGTGTTTTAACAGATAAATGGGGAACTTCTTCCTTTCAGAAGTAGTGTACCACTACCTGCCTGAATTAATCAGTCAGAGCCACCTTGCAAAGCACACAGGGAGAAGTGAACATACTGTCTACACCAACTCACACAGAGACAGATCAACAACCAACCCTCTCGTTCAGTGGTTACCTCACTGAGACAACACTGCAGTTAGCTGAGCTGTTAACTCACAAACCAGAGAGACTTTCTGAACCAAGATGTTGCTAGAGGGTCTACAAAGCTTTCCTGAAATCACTGTGGCAGAGGCACATAAGGGTGGAGGTAGGGAGGATTTGGAAGCCACAGGAAGATGGCACCCGGCTCTGTTTCCTGAAGCTACCCAGCAGTTCCACACCCAAGGATACCAGGGGAGAAACAGGCCTGGACAGCAGCAAGCCCTGGGTGCTCTTGATACACTCAGGTAACAAGTTGCCTGTCCAGGGGAAGAATAAAAGGCCAAAGAAAGAAGTGGCAGAAGAAATCAGGATGGGCAAGAGCTTCCTAGGCAGCACTAGGCAGGGTGGATGGCCACAACACAAAGGCAAGGAAGGTTCAACACCACAAGAAGCCAAATTTCTACTCAATCCAGGGAGGAAATTAAAGCAATGGATGGAGCCAACACCTTCCGGATCCCTGGCAGTGTGTTCCCCAAGGGCTTCATTTGGAAATGTACCTCTCAGTAGCTACTTATAGACTCTGTCTCTCAACCTCACTGTTTCCTGCCCAACCACGAAAGAAACTGGCAACCCAGGCAACACCTCTTGTCCCTTCATTTTTTTTTCTTTAGCAACACTTTTTCTAAGTGAAATATTTTCATGTTCCAAGTGAAGATTTTGCTTATATTTACTTAAGTTTTATACCATATTCCCCCCCACCCCAAATATCAACTGTTTAGTTATCAGTTCTGGGCACATTGAACATGAAGACTTTTTCTATGAAGAAATCCTTCAGGAACCAAAAGCTAAAACCTCCCCCTAGCACAGATCATGCGTTAACCCCCTTCACCCTGAAAATGATTTAATTATTCAAATCTCACTAATCTCTGTGGTTCAGAGTATGGGCTGAAAGGAGGCATGCTATGCAGAGAGGCCTGGGGTCTTTGGTAAGTAGGCCGTTAGATATGGCTACCTCTTCCTATCTCCCTCCCATCCTTACTTACAAACCGTACCACACATGCTAACTCTTCTCTCAAGATGATCTACTTGCTACGTATCAAATCAAGATGATTTCCCCATTCCATCTAGCAAAACCTGTAGTGAAGTTCATGAGTGGGAACTGTCGGGAAGATTTTGTTCTATCTCTAGTTTAAGGCAGCAATCTCAAAGCTCGGAACAAGGAAAGAAGTATCCGGGAGGAAGGATCAGTATTTCAGAAAGCAGAAAGGTTGCCTGGCTTTGGAAGGTGGGCACAGTGGTTGGTCAACTATTAGCCTGAAGGTGGTGACAGAGAAAGAAACAAAGCCAGATGCATGCAAACAGGGAATGAGAGCCGTGCTCACCCCAACATCAAAACAGCACGTTTCTCGGCTTTAATACTCTTTGCATAGAGTGTTCAAATTTATTGTTATTTAAAGCTGCTGTGCAAAACTGTATATGCATTTGTCATGTATGCTTAGAAATATCTATGTCTTGTGGCATGGTTAATCCTATCTAATTAAAATGTGCATTAACTCAAAACGTGATCAAAGCTTTCTCATTTTATAAGAATACTGTACCAGAATAGGTTAAATACATCATTAACATCCTGATAGCATTATCCGGTAGTTAATCAACAGAATATTAAATCTCTGCCCAGAAAACTTTTGGAACAGGAACTCAGAAGCCCCAAACTCAGCTACTTTTATGGCTTCCTTCTCCAGTTCTTTTAATCCTGGCTAAGACAGCGGCCTTAGAAACTCTCTTCCGGTCGTAAGCCAGGCCGAGGGCAGCCATGCAGTCGATGAAGAACGTGGTGAAGTTGATGTGCCAGCGGTACTCACTGGCAGAGTAGTCGTAGGGGAAGACGTGATGGTAGTTGTGGAAACCCTCGCCTGCAACAGAAGCAAGGAGAGCAGTCAGGGGGCTCAGTGATTCCTGCTTCCCTTTTGTATACCTCTTAGCTGTTGTGTACCTCAAACCTTGAAGAATCTCGCTGTTGGGGTGAATAGATGAACCCCCAGTCTTGTATTCTAAAGCAAATAGATGCCCTCAGAGGCATCTCAGGAAACCTGTTGGCAGGCTTTGCTCACAGGGAGCATGTCTGGGAGCCTTTGTCAGAGGAAGTTTGTATCATAAGAGGATGGGAGAGAAACTGGGTCTTCAACTTATAGGGTCTGAATGGAAGTGCGTTGTATTCAGGAGGAGGCAAAAGGAGGCCTCTGTCCCTCACCCACCCACTGCTGGCTCACAGCAGAGCTGCTGACTCTGAGTTTGACCCTGGGGTTCTGGAGGTGCCGAGAAAACAGAAGCACTCTGATATTCTCGCTAACGTCAAAGATTCTTACCATTCCTAAAAATAATGTTTTGATAGAGGGAACAAACGAAAACCTGGACTAAGGAGGGTTCTGCAGAAGGTGTTTACTAGCTCTTGGCAGGGTTCTTCTTTCTGAATGGATCCCAACACTAACAATACAGAACCCAAACGACCCAACGCCCTCTTCTGGCCTCCTCAGGCACTGCAAACACATGATGCACAGGCAAACATGCTGGCAAAATATCCCAACACATAATAAAATACAATACATAAAAATACAATTTCAAGAAAAAAATTTTTTTAAAAAAAGATTACTAGTTTTTACACACTTTCAAAAGGAAGTTTTGAGTGAGCCCTCCCCTACATCCCTGTCTCGACATTTAACATGAAAACAGACCACACCGTGGTGATGAGGGAGAAAAAGAGAATAGAGATCAATGGGGAGTAATTTGAGCAGCATGAGATAGCCCAGAGGAGCATGAGATAGCCCAGAAATGGGGTGACGGGAGACCAAGAGCATGTGACCTAAGGGAAATAATACAAGAAGATGAGAGTGACAGGAAGCAGCCGGTGGAGATGACCAGTAAGAGAACCAACAGGTTTGGGTGAATAGCAGCCCGACAAAGGAAGATACTGGCAGCCACTTGGAACTGACAGTCACAAGGAAGGTCTCACACAATGCAGGATACACATGACTCAGCTCAGATTACTCTGTTTCCATGAACCTATCCGATTTGGAGAGCGTGGGGTCTATTTCAGAATCGTTCAAAAGTAGCAGCATACAAATTGGTAACAGATGCCAGAGAAGGGTTGAAATCGGAGAATCCAAAGAGAAAAAAAAGGGTAGGGGGCAGAGCTTTAAATAGAGTTAAAAGTGCTAGCGGAATGACAGGGATTTTCCATGAGCAAAGAAAGGGGTCTCTGGGCTGTCAGCAGGTGAGCAGTGGCGCTCGTCTCCAGTCCTGGCAGGGAAAGCCTAAGAAAGAGAGGAGTGTATGCAGGAACAGACAACAGGAGGTCACACAGAAGGAACAGACGGAACTCTGCCCCTTCAGGGATGCTGGTGGGGAGAAGTCCTCAGCAAGGAGCAGAAAATGAGCAAGAGGAGGGAGGGGTGACGGAGGAGAAAAGAGCCTGCCCTGCAGTTGACATCACCACAAGACAGTGCATGACCCACTGGTGTAAAAGAACAGCATACAGTGGGGTGGAGAGAAAAATACAACAGGTGCAGCAACTTGAAGGTTACTGACTAAATTATGCTCTTACAGGTAACACAGCAGGGTTGTTTACATGTGAACCACTAGGCTGGTGACTGTGGTGTACTTAATGCGCATCCTTGGCTACGCAGAACTACAGACCTGCCAGGGGACTCAAAGGCTCATTACAGGCAGCACTTAGACATTGTTTTACAACCTATAAACCTTCTTCCCCTTTCTTTTTTACATTAAGAGCTGTTGCTTGCCAGACTCTCATAAGGGCCTCCTGATAGACTCTCCCCAACCTCCAGTTTTATGGTGGAAAAACCAAACTACACAGAACCCATAAAACAGGTCCTTCTGGTTCCTCTGGCTCCTAGACAAACAACACAACCAGAAGGCCCCTAGATATGGTCATACTAGGGACTAGTGACTTACCCACGGCACCCAGGGAAACCAGGATGTTCTCCCGGGATTGAATGTTCTTGTCGTAGGGGCGGTACCCGTAGAGGTGGGCGGCGCTGTTCACCAGCCAGGTGGCGTTGAGGACCACAGTGTACCGCAGGAAGGTGCAAACGAACAAGCTGTTTACAAACGTTTCCCCCCAGCAGTACCAGGGCACCAGCGTGGGCAGGATGAAGCACATCAGAAGGAGGCCGGGTATATAGTACCTACGTGGAGAGATCACACACTGAGTCTGGAGAGAGGACTCCCAAACCTACACAAACCTTCCTTCCTAATTAGGCAGCATTAAGTCATTTTTACATCAAAGAATGGGACAGATTATCAGCAAGAGGGAAGGTGGTAACAAAACAAAGGAGTTCTCTTTCTTTAGATGTGATACACAAATGGGCCAATATTCTTCTAGGATCCTGGGTACAGTTTGTCTCCTGTCACTTCTATTCCTGACTACAAATCCATTACTTTATCAAACCACAATCTCACCGGCCAATTCTGCTCGCTGGGCTGCTCTCCATCAGCCTTTGAGTTCCTTCTTGCCTGTTGAGGTCTTTGGCAGAGTGTGGCAAGCGTCATGCCTCCATTTTCCCTGCGGGCCTTTGTCCTGCCTTTCCCCCAGAAGACACATCAACTGTCCTTGACCCTCTGCAGGTCTCTGCCACTCTAGAGACTCCGTCCCATTCTTAATTCCCTACAAGCCAGGCCACGGACTTCCCTCAGCAGTTGTATCGCTGACAGCCCCTCAGCATGGTTCCCGTTCATCTGCTCACTAGTTCCCTAGCGGAAGCCTCCTGGTGGTCTAACCTGTGACACTGGCCATCACCTCCCTAGGTCCATGACTACTTTCACCTATTTTGAAAGCGGCTTCCTCAGAGCCCACCTGTGTCCCATGCTGCCGGAGAATGCTTGAGTGGTCCCCTGAAACCAACTGAATTAATACTGACTGTCTGTCCTTGCAGCCCGGCTCCTGTCACATGGTACATCTCATAGAGAGGGACTGTATTTCAGGAGGAGCGTGTCTTGGCAGTCTGTTGTCATCTCTGCCCATCACACTGCCAGAGCCTCTGTCTGTGGCTGGATCCTGAGGCTACTTCGCTGCCGTACACTGTACATTCACTGAGCTGGATTTCCTCCTCCATAATCCTGGTCAACACTGCACCATCCTGCTTCGTGTGGTGATAATTGAGGCTCATTCCTTCAACCCCAAATACACTGAAAATTCCTTGAAGGTAACTGCTCGGCCGTGGGTACCAGACTAGGACCAATGTTATAGTTAATTGGTTCTAGTAAGATGGCTCGTGCAGAAACAGAGCAATAACTTAGGGCTGGGAGTCTTTAGAATGCTGAATTGGAGATTTAAATGGCTTTGAACTTATCAATCCCGTAGATCACCCAGTTATTATTTTATACATCCTAAGAGAAAAGGTAGATTCCTAAACTCCAGGTGCCCTGGGTTACAGTCCCAATTCTACCCCCAGGCCCCACTCACCTCCTCTGGAACATCACCAGCTTCTCAGCTTTTAGGTCAGACATGTCCAGTTTTCCGCCCTTCTCTTTGACAGCCGGGTGTTTGCGCACAAGCAGCCAGCCCACGTGAGAGAAGAAAAAGCCCCGGCGGGAATTGTGAGGGTCAGCGTGTGTTTCTGAGAACTTGTGGTGGGCGCGGTGGTCTCGGGCCCATTCATACACGTCATTCTGGAAGCACAGGGAAGAGGAACCCAGTGCTGAGAAGAGATGCCCTCCTGGGGGAATTCAGTGCCCTGATATCTTCAAGGGCTTAGGAGAACTCAACCCATAAGGCTGCAACTACAAAGGAGTTGGGGCCTACACTTTTGTACATTTGTCCCCGAAGCTTATTTGGCAAAGTCCCAGAGCACACTGAAGGCTGTGTGTGAGGGGAAGGAAAGTCACAGCACTCACAAAGAACTCTGAAGATTTTTTGAGTGTGGGAACCTGGGGGCAGAGATCCTGAGGCAGGGGGAATCCCAGGGAGTCTGGGGAAAAGATGAAGGCAGTGCCACCCAGATACTTTCACAGGTGACAGCTCACTCAGCCCCATTTTTAAGCTAGCATGTAATTAATGAGGTAAGGGCACTTCTGTAGGACCTATGAGCTTATCTGGGGCATACACTTCACATATTGCCAACCCAGCAGCCTCAGATAGAACAAGGTTCACCAGGCCAAGCTTTCAGAGTCAGTTAAGTGGTGATGTGCACCTTTAATCCCAGTACTGGGAAGGCACAGGCCAGCCTGATCTACATAGTGAGTTCCAGGCCAGCCATGACTACTCAGTGAGATCTTATCCCAAAGAACAAAAATCAGTGTGATAATGATAATATCCACCAGTATGTCTATGAGGACTTAATGGGTTATCTCATGCCAAGTGCTTAGCAGGTGCCCCGCATGGCCAGCGCTATAGAGTTCCCAATTCTGTGACATGTCACTGTTAGTCCCATTGTGGTGACATTCCATGATGGTCACAGTAAAGCATGAGTTGACTCTCCAGTAAGAGTCCAAGAAACCAGGGTCAATGCGTGGATCATGCAGCAGGGCCCTTTAGGCAAACATACGGCGTGATAACATATCGGTCCTGAACGTGTCGTACTTGAGGTGACTTCAGAAACCAAAAAAGACAGTCAGTGGTGGTCCTTATAATTCCTCCCTAGATGCGGAGCCTCCTCGGCCCACTCAGATCACGCATGGGATGGAGACACAGCCACAGCGCCTGCTTCTTACCTGGAATGCCATGGTGTTGGCAACAATGAGGAAGAGCCGCAGGGGCAGCCGCGCCTTGTAAGTTCTGTGGCTCCACAGGCGATGAGCTCCGGCCGTAATGCCCAGGCCGCTGATTAGGTAGCACACGTACGCTGTAGGACCAGACAGTGAGAGACTCACCAAAAGGCAAATTTCAACAGTGAAAGTTGCCAAGGCATTTTCCCCAACGCCAATGTCCTTTGGGTTTGGGGTGAGGATCTGTTTTTCACTGAACCATTAAGAATCCCTTGGTCTCTCAGGCCTAGTAGCTTCTGCCCCTCAAATGAGCAGAGCTGCAAACTCTTCCAGTGGATCCCAGGGCCACAGATGGGAGCTTTGTGAAAAACAGCAGACACGTCAATCTGAACATCAAGCAGTTGGAGAACCCTGAGTTGTAGGGGACATTCAAGGGATGCAACTGATATAGTCACATTTGAATACTACAGAAGGGACTGTGGCCCACATCAGCCCTGGAGAGTCATGCTTGCAGTGTCCTAAACGACCTTAAGATTCTTATACTTAGGCTGGAGAGATGGCTCAGTGGTTAAGAGCGCTGACTGCTCTTCCAGAGGTCATGAGTTCAATTCTCAGCAACCACATGGTGGCTCACAACCATCGGTAATGGGATCTGATGCCCTCTTCTGGTGTGCCTGAAGACAGCTATAGTTTCTCCATATACATAAATAAATAAATAGTTTTTAAAAAGATTCTCATCCTCACTACTTACTTTAAACAGAGTGTCATTAATATTGTACTTCACTTCACCTTTAACCCCAGAACTCTGGGCAGCAGTGAAAAATCTGAGTTCAAGGCCAGCCCGGTCTACAGAGTTCCAGAACACACAGGGCTAGGCAGAGAAACCATTGCTCAAAAACAAACAAAACAAAAAACCCCACAAACTCCCTATACTTTACAATTGAGAAAGTAGATCGCAAGAGGGGTTAAGTCTGAACAGGGCTGCACAATTAGCAAAATAGGAACCCGACATCAGAACGTTTTCCTGCTTCATGGTCTTCTGGGCATGCAGGGTTAGAGGGTACTAAATTCGATCTTGAAGGGGGAAAGAGGTTTTGTGCATACCCAGCTCTTCTCTGACCAGCACTGGAATGCTGGGACAGAAGCCCTGGCAGACACTGTTTTCAGGCCTAAGGAGTAACAACCACAGATTCTCAGATTGACTTCAGTTGCAGTCAAGAGATACACACTGTACATTGTCCATGCCCTAGAGCAGAGATAGAAACCTCCTAAGCAGCTTCCTGTGCACCCCCATTTTCCTCATACACAGTCAGTGTCTGACATCCTAAGTAAACTCTAGCCACATTCTCTCAGAGCTGGGATTGAAGCCTCGGATGTCTGCTACCCATGGTCATGGGGGGGATAATGACCATGGGTCATGGTGTGGCAATCTGATTGTCTTGTGTACCAGATCTGACCACACTGTCCCAGAGAGCCCCAGAGAACCACTAGCAATCGGCGGGAGGAAAGAAAAGGTTTGGGGCAACATAGAAGCCCTCAATTTTACACCAAGGAAGCATCCATGTTGGTTTCATGTAGATGACCCAGGCACAGTCTAGACCACATATGATACCATGTCAACAGGGGAATTGGGACAAGAGCACAGGCACATTGGGATATTCTACCCAAACTTCAGTGCCCCCCCCCACAACGGGACTATTGTGTCCACCTATTGGTAAAGGAACATCTTAAGAGTTATTGTAAGAAGCAGGCTGGATCTGGGTGTGGTGGACTTTTAATCCTAGCACTTGGGAGGCAGAGGAGGCAGTGAGATCTCTGTGAGGCCTGGTCTACAATGAGACCTTGTCTCCAAAAAAAGGGTGGGGGGAGGTAGGTGGCAGTAGCAGGCTGGAGACTCTTTGGTCTTCAGCGTTATCAGCGATCTCTTCAGAACTGGGTTCTTTTAGAGTTAACAAAGAGAATATAAAAGCTCTGGAAAGCTTCCTCAAGAGAAAGGCGCAGCTAGCCTAAGAGCAGAACCTCGCTAACCCCAACAAAGTACTGCTGCTCTACTTGTTACTTGGATAACAGTGGATTCTCTCAGATCTAGGTCATCTGGACAACTTCTAAGATGACGCTCCCAGGACCAAATTTAACTACTTAGAAGGCCTAAAAGGCCCAGGGCAGAAGAGCCAATACCTGGCTAACCATCTCTTTCACAACCTTACCTCTGAGAGAGCCACCACAAAGTACCCACAGCTAATACTTCTCCAGAGAAACCTCCCATGTCTTCCAGAGAGGGGACTCCTCAGAAAGGCCCTCCTGCTCCTCCTTCCCAATTCAGGTCATAGAGGAAAACACATGTAACGCTCAAATGTATTCTAGAGGTGGCCTTGCTATCAGCCCATACCCAGTGAATCCCTGAGGAGCGGAATTAGAGGTGGGGCTGCTGAGGGGTTATTCTCTGCAAGGAGGGATCACCAGGGTGGGAAGATTGGACTTAGAAAGTTTTGGGTCCTTAGCACTTCATAGTCTCAGGGAACAGACAAGAGCAGGCTAGATGAGGGATTGGAACAAGAACCTTCCTTCATTCTTTTAACACATTGTTGATTAGCAGGTGCTGCACCCTGGAGAATGACCTGGAGCAGAACCACACACACCTGTAGACTGGGTGCTGTAGAAGCCTGCATCACCTTTCCCTAAGGCAAACCAGCTTGGTCTGGTTGGGAGTTTGGAGTCAGAATAGTTGTGTGTAAATAACTGCCTTTTGTTCCTTTCTTTTCAAGGTTTGCTCCTGTACAGTGTCAGCAGGCTCTGTTCCCTGTCCTGGCTGAAGAGTAGTCCACAAGTCCCTTGGCCTAGCACCCGATTCCCATGCCTCTCAGGTAGGGCCAGGTGAGGCCGGGATGAGTAGCTAAGCAAGTGTCTCACACAGAAAAGGTTGTTCAGAGAAAGTTGTTTCTCTGCCTCAGATAGACCCCTCCAGGCCCCCTGCATGGGACTCAGTATTCATGTTAAAGGATGCTTAGTCCTACGAGGAAGCAGAAAAAAAAGGCTGGGGACATCTGGACAGATAGGCCACTGCTTTGAGTCAGAGGCTACCTTATTAAAGAACAAGGAGAAATATGAGGTACTGGCCCAAGACAAGGGGCGCTGCTCACCAAAGAGGCAGGTGTAGACCTTGCAGGAGGGAACCAGTGTGATCCCGTACAGGGCTCCCAAGTGCAGCAGGACCATGAGGATGATGTTCCTCCAGACGTACTCCAGCTTGGGCGGGGGCCCCTCCTCATCCTGGTAGGTGGGGTCGTGTATATCTTCTTTCATTTCAGGACGGATGTCTTCTTCCAGATAGAGGGGCAGAGTCTTCACCTTCTCTCGACCATTCTGCAGGTTTCCAGAGGGAGGCGCTGTGATGGTAGTGGTGGTCGTGTAGGAACTGGAGAGCTGCAAGGAAAAGTTCAGTGGGGGAGGCAGATCAGTGGAGGGCATTCTGTGTGTGTGTGTGTGTGTGTGTGTGTGTGTGTGTGTACCGTGTTCTTCACACTAGTGCAGGCAAAAGGCACAGCAAAGACGCAACAGACCCTGCCCCAGAGCTCAGGGAGAGATGTACTCCGAGATAAATCAGAAGTTTCCAGAAACTGTACAGTTTTGTTTGGGAGGAAGGGGGTGAAAGACAAGTAGGAAAGGAGAGTGAGACATTTGTACCCCCAATAACACACAAAGGGATCCCTGCGTGAGTATACAAGTATCAGCAGGATAAGCTTTTTTATTTAAGCAGCGGTTCTCAACCTGTGGCTCACGCTCGACCCCTTTGGGGGGTCAAACAACCCTTTCATAGGGATAGCCCAAGACCATCGAAAACAGACATTTACATTACGATTTATAACAGTACCAAAATTATAGTTATGAAGTAGCAACGAAAATAATTTTATGGTTGGGGGGTCACTGCAACATGAAGAACTGTATTAAAGGATCAGGAAGGTTGAGAACCGCTGCTTTAAAGCTAAAGGTACAGAAGTTGGGACTCAACTGCCCAAATTACAATCTACATCCCCCAATCAACGGGTCGCATCAGAATTCGAAAAGCCGAGTAGTCCGGAGAAGTCTCAAACTTTCTCCTCCCCGGACCAGTAACCTAGCAGCGTGGCCGGTGCGTGGAGCGAGGGTCGCTTCTGGAAGCTCACCTCTTGAAGCATGTGGGCCGGCATCGTGGCTGTCGGCTGCTCGCCTCACTTTCTCAGCGCTGAGATCGAGCGTGGACTTCGGTTCCGGAGCCCGTTGGTGTGGGCGAGTGGCAGAGCTGCGCTTGGAAACCTGCCTTCCTGTCTCGCGGGATGGATGTTCAGCCCGGTCTGGCTGTGCACAGATCTTCCCGGGCTGGGAATTTAAAGGGTAGGGCAGGCGATGGGATGACCGTGTTCAGTATTTCCTCAGATCCCTTTTATCCGCTGCCAGCAAAGGGTAAAGAGCGCAGAGATAGCTAGCCAAGGAAGCCAGACGTGGAGGTGAGGGAGGGAAGGAGGGCGGGACCAAGAAGCGGAAAGAAAGCCAAGTAGATTCCAGAGTAGACCTCCGAGGCGCCGGGATGCTGAAGACATCAACACCGCGTTGCTCCAACCCCCTGCCGGGGGGTAAATGCTAATGAGCCTCCTATGAAGCCTGTCTTGTCATTGGCCAAAGAGAATTTGGTGCCACCTTGTCCAGCCTTTTCCATTGGCTGGGCGCAATCTGCTGTTCCCTCTGCCACTAGTTCCTCGCTCTCTCCTCCCCTCTTTTTCTCCTCATCCTCTTTGCTGTGGGCTGATGGGTGACTTTTCTTTTAGAGGAGGATAATGTGGTCCTGTGTAGGAGTTGTGTACAAGCCTAGGACTCTGTTCTGGCGCTTAGCGAATGGTTCATTGGGGAAATTGCATCGGGAGAAGTGAGGAAGACACTGGCTACCACCACTCAGAACTCACAACTCTGACTTCACATGCACCACCACTTCCAGGCACCGGCAAAGAGAACACTCGGGAGATTGGAGCATGAGGGTGCTATTGGTCTCTGATGTCTAGCGCCCAGGGCTCTGACTCGGTAAAACAATAGTTTATTCAGTTTATTTAGTCAGCCAGCACCTGGTTGCTAGCTAGCCCAAGGCTGCTGCGTCCCTGAGTGCAAGTCGCTCACAGGCAGAGTTACTCTTGCTGCGCTCACTTATTGGTCTCAATCTGCAGGGGACCGCCTCTGCGGAGAACCAGAACCCAATCCTAGCCCCATCTCCCTGAGCGGTACGTTTGAGAGATCTTTAGATCGTCAGGTTGGAATTTGGGGAATCTTCCAATCAAAGGGCCCGCGTGTGCAATAAGAATAACAACAGATTCTTTGCGATCCCTAACAAGTCGTCACGAGAATGTCCTTTTGTGGAACCCACATTGATCCTGAGCAGTGGGTACTCCTGGGTGTTTATTGTTACTGGTTTCTTTTTAGACAGAGTCTGTGAAGCTCTGACTGTCCTGGACCTCACTATGTAGACCAGGCTGGCTTCGAGCTCCATAGAGCTGTGTCTGCCTTTGCGTGCTGTGCACCCGGCTCCCTCATCTTTTTAAAAAGGGAGAGAGAGAGAGAGAGAGAGAGAGAGAGAGAGAGAGAGAGAGAGAGAGAGAGAGAGAGAGAGAGAGAAGGTTACCGGTGGTCACCCTTAACAAGTCTATGTTGGAGCTAGGAATTGAGTATCAGATGAGTGGCTGCCGAAACAGTCCATCTTAAAAGTACCAGTGCTCAAAGACAAAGGCAGGCAGTATCTTCCAGTTATATGTAGGCTGGTCTACATAGTGAGTTCTTTTCTTCCTCTCTCTCTCTCTCTCTCTCTCTCTCTCTCTCTCTCTCTCTCCCTTTCTTTCTTTCTTTCTTTCTTTCTTTCTTTCTTTCCTTCCTCCTTTCTTTCTTTCTTTCTTTCTTTCTTTCTTTCTTTCTTTCTGATATCTGTGACTTCTATGCAACTTACTCTACATAGTGAGTTTCTTTCCTTCTTTTTTAAAAAATTTTAAGACAGGTTTCTCTATGTAGCTCTCACTGTCTTGTAGCTCTCACTGTCTTGGAATTTGCTCTGTAGTCCCGGCTGGCCTCAAACTCAGAGCTTTGCCTGTCTCTGCCTCCCAAGTGCTGGGACAAAGGCCTGCGCCATTAAGCCCAATGTACACTGTGAGCTGTAGCTCAGCCAGGGTTACATAGGCCTGTTTGAAACAACAGCAGCCAGAGCCCCCTGGGAGTTTCCCCTAACCCACTCTGCTATTATTCCCTAGATCTTCGGATATTACCTGGACTAAACTGCTGTGACACCCATTGCCAGAAAAGGCAAGGGCAGACCCAAGACAGCATGCAGCATAGGCGTCCGCTGCTTCTCTCTAAAATCAGGCTGATGTGCTAAGCTTTGGGGCCCAGAAAACATTGGGTAAGAGGGAGCTGATTTCAGTGTCACTAACTGAGACATAGTAGGGACTGATTTGTCTGTGGTCTTACATGACTGTAACTGTGGCGCCCACTACAAACTTCAGGCGCTTCCAACTAAGTACAAAATAAGACTGTGTAATAGGAAAGAACACTGTGGGGAAACACGAGAGTTGGTATCAGGAGTTATTAGGCCAGTGACTAGTTAGAACACCTAAATAAATACGGTTTGTTTATAGTATATATTTTAAAGGTTTATTTTTATTTTTAATTATATGTCTCTGTGTGGGGGTTACATGTGCCCAGAGGTATGAGAGTCCTGGAGCTGCAGTAACAGATGGTTGCGAGCTGTTTGCCATGTATGCTAGGAACTGGTCCCTGTCCCCTGCCAGAGCAATTAAGGGCATTTAACTACTGAGCCATCCCTCCTCCTTACAATACAATTTACAGCTCTCAGCACATGCCTTTAATCTCAGCACTCAGGAGGTAAAAGCAGGTAAATCTCTGAGGCCAGCCAGAGCTACATAGTGAGGTCCTTTCTCTAAATAAATATAAATTTAAATAATTCAGCACATATTTTAGTACAGATGAAGGGGAAGTAGAAGGTGAGCATGGAAGACGGGGATTGGTGTGAAAACTTTCCCCTGGGTGCCATCAGAGTGTCTGAATCCCAAGAGATTGAAAAGAGAGCAAGAAAAAAGTAAAAATCAGGTCCCGTCCCACTTAGCCCTTTTCAGCAAACATTCGGACCTTAGCGAGAATTCATAGAAAGAGAGGTCGCTCAGAGGAACGGAGGCTGCTCACTCAGTCCTTCTCACTAGCGCTGGGCCCATTATTCCGAGCAGACTTTACAGATTGAGGTCTGGGAATGCAGACTCATGCGTGGAAAGCACCGGACCCACTGCCGTTTCTCTGGGCGCCTTCATTCCGCAAAGCACCTGGCAAGCTGACGCTACCGACCCAGAGGGGTATTTTGAAGATGTGTTGGAGATCTATTGTCCCTCACTGACAGACACTCTTCAAAAACTGTCACCACTATTGAAAAGGACTGACTGGCACATAATCTAGAGTGCATGGTGTGTCTGAGTCATCTGCCCATTCTCTTTAGTTAACATAAAAACCTAAGGCCCTCATTGACAGAGAAGAATGGCCTTCGGCAGATCATGTGAGACTATTTTCATTCTGTTTCTCTAACTAGGAAACCAGTTCCCTTTTGAGCAGAGATCACCTCCCATCGGAGGCAGGAGGCAAGAACAGAGCAGAGTTGACATTCTGACTTGGATTATATGTTTGTTTCATCCTAAGAGAGCAAATTTCCCCAACAATGATGAAAGGAAAATAATATTAGTCTCTTTAAAGGGTTTGTATAAATCAATGAAAACTCAGAATAATTAAAAATAACAGTACTGAATAGGAACTCGTGATAGAGGAATAATAGATAATGTACAAATAATTAACAAAGATTTGACTTTATTAACTGTTAAAAAGGCATCAGTGAATGTAGTTTGTTACGATTAAAGACCTTACAGTATTCTATATTGGGGAAAATAAGCCAGGTTTTCTGTTTTGCTTTTTATCTATCTATCTATCTATCTATCTATCTATCTATCTATCATCTATCTATCTATCTTGTTTTTTGCTATGTAGACTATGCTGACCTTGAATTGACAGAAATCTGCTTGCCTCTGCCTCCTGAGTGTTGGGACTAAAGATGTTTGTCACCATACCTCTTTAAAGATTTATTTTATTTTTAATTGTGATGTGTGTATGTGTGTGTGAAAGTCAGAAGACAACCTCTGGGAGTTGGTTCTCTCCTACCATGTGGGGCGTGTGAATCGAGCTCACATCATTAGGTTTAGCAGGAAATGTCATTACTGAGCCTTCTTGCCAGCCCATCAGAAAGATGTTTTGTAAGTAATTTTTTCTTCATGGTGCTGGAGAATTAAATCTAAGGCCTCCCCCATCCTAGGCAAGTGCCTTACCACTGAGCTACACCTCAGCCCATTGATAAGTTCCTGAAATTGTCACACAGACACATGCAACGAGCATTACAAAACTATGCAAGATGTATTCCATAGATATGCCATCAATATTTTATATTTGTTATTTATAATACTGATTTAGGGCTTCTGTTTTTTCATTTTGTTCTTTTTTAAAAATAATTTATTTATTTTTTTCAAATCGTAATTTATACTCATTCACACGGGGTTATAAACACAAAAAGGCAGGATGTGGGGGAGGGGATGACACTGGAGCGTGGGTGTTCAGGGGGAATACAGGTATCTTTTAGAACAGGGTATAGGCTGGGTGAAGGTTCAGGGGACAGGTCGCTATGACTCTGCCTATGATTCACTTGTCCTTATCTAAGTATTATCTGCCAAAGCTACCTATTTACAAGGTCTATGACTACTCAGGCTGGTAAAGTTCCACAAAAGCTGCCTGTTTACAATAGCTTATAGCCATATGTTTCAATGTTTATCCACAGAGACCCAAGACTTGGTGTTAGTATACATGTATGACAGGTCTATTGCTGATTTTAGGCCTATGGCTGATTTTAGGCCTTCAGTGTGTAAGCAGGGATGTCCCTGACATCTCCTCCCTTCTCTAAGTATAGAAGGACTGTGGCGATTCTAATCTTGTGAAGGCGGGGATAGAGGCCTGACCTCCAGTAATTGAAGGGGACCTTGTAATGGCTCCGGTCCCCCTGTCGTTGTCCAGTGAGGCACGAGGGCCATACTCGTTAGGGCTTCTTTTTAATACAAATAATATTGGGTTTGTAAATTAGTTTATTCTTCCCACCAGCAGTTTTAAAATATTCAATTCAGGCCTATAGATGGGGCTCAGCACAAAGCACTGGGCTCAGTGCTCCCCACCATATAAACCAGACAACACACACACACACACACACAGGGCTCAGTGCCCCCACCACATGAACCTGACAACACACACACATACAAGTAATACATTTAAATAACCACAATATCTATTTGAACTAGGTGTGGTAGTGCATACCTGTAACTCCAACATTTGGGAGATAACGACAGGAGGGTCAGGAGTTCAAGGGCGATTTCAGCTACATAAGGATATGAGGCCAGCCCAGAATATGAGAGACTTTGTCACAAACT